TTTTGTTTTTCTGACTGAAAAAACAAAACAAACAAATAGCAAAATAAATTGAACTATTGAATGTGTTTGTGGAATATGTACATAAAAAAACGACATAACAAGTTATCTTCTTCTGATTGGTGAAGAATAATTTGACAGCAGGCCAACTTGAAGTAGTATCATTACAATGCCAGTATTACAATAACTGCATATTTCATTGAGCCAAAAACCAAACAATCAAGTTGTTGTTATTGAATGCTAATATTCTTGGAACTGGACAAGTTGATGCAAAACAATTTAAATATTCCAATAAATCAGAGTAAATGAGAACACACTAACATTTTAACTTTTCCTCACAAGGCTGGCCAAAAACTTCTTCCTTCACATTAGGAACAATAATTATTTTGCCAGTGTCAGCTAAGAGGCAAGGAGGTTCTGTACCAACATGCAAAGGAGCCAATCACTTTAGGATCAAGGGAAATCTGTCTTACCAGTATAATTCTATAAAACACATTCTCCTATGAAGGAGTAACTCATAATTATACTTGGATGTTACAGTCATCATTAGAAAGTGACCTCAGTTCAGATTTTCCTATTTGCAGAGAAACCTTCATTCAAATCATTGTTTTTTTCATTTATTCTCCAGCCTAACCCTTGGACTCCTATCTATTTTTGTTGACTTGTGACTAATACATAATTTCTCCTTAAGTATCGATACAAAATAAGTAGAAAAAGGAATGAAAATAAACTGAAAAATAGCAATCAGACATTATTAGTTCACCAGGAGCAAATTCTGCCAAATTCTGTATGGTAGACAGTAAGGGGAATTACTAATGATAATTTAAAAGATTTTGAGATTAAAATGGTTAAGGAATGTCTCCCACAATACCCACATTGAAAGGTTTCTCTTGTTTTGGCCACTTGTGCATCTCTGACTTGAATCAGTCTGCTGAAGGGTTTTCTTCTACTTCACTTTACCTGAATTTGATTATTATCCGACATTTTCTCACTTATTAAACTTACCTGTTCAAAAGTAGCCCATTTATTCTTAAACTCTACAGAAGTAATTTCTCATACAACATCAAGTGGACAATTGATGAGAATACACTCAAAAACACCAATTAGAGAATAATAATTTCATCCAAGACCAAATCATTCAAACTCACATCCTGATAATTGTATAGCAGACAATAAGGAGAATTACTTATGAGATCTGGGAATAAAATGTATGATAGAATAATCAATTCAGGCCAAGTGAGTGTTAAAACTCTGTGCAATCATAAATAAATGTCATGGATGAAATACAGAAGTAAGCAAGTGAGTAGCTAAGTAATTTCTTTCGCTTCAACATGATGAGAATAATGAAAGCATTAAAGGCTTAAGGGGTCATCTGTAACTAGCTAGTACCTATGTAAATAACCATCCAGTAAAAGCAGATGAAATATATGTAATGAATAACACTTCTAAGTCAATACATGACGATGCAAAATGTGCTTTTATTATTTAAGGTAATTTATCATTCAAAATCACACATCTTCACTAAAACAGTGCAAATAAGCTGGTAAATCTGATTTCCCTGAATGTTGGATCAGTTTTTACCTTTCTATAAAACTGCTTAAAACTATAAGAGTCACTAAAATAACCCAAGACACATTTCCACACTACAGCACCTCCATAACTGATACAATTTTTCATAAAATAGGTGGAAAATCATGGAACAACAGCCTCATTCTGTCTTCTTGACCCTTTCACTCCCATGGCAACCAAGAAAGAATTTCTCCTCACAATGTCTATACATTGACAAGACAAGCAGACAAGTGATGAGAATAAAGAAAAATGTAATCAGGGGATTAGTAGTTGATCAAATACCAAAAAAACTACCATCATAAGAATTGAATGGCAGACAGTACAGAGAATTACTATTGAGATCTTGGGACTGAAAGGGTTAAATTATATGGACTGTTGTGCCATACAGATACATATACCTTTTCACTAAATCCCTAAATTCAAATTAAATTTTATAGAAAACCACATCCAAAATCTGTGGCACTAATGTTTGGATATTACAAGGAGAGGTTACATGTTAATCACTTCTGGGAGTCTAACAGTTAAAGTGTTGACCCATTCACAGAGAGAAGGAAATATCCAAGACCATTTAAAATTTTATCTCATACCTGCCTCTTATTAGGTTGTTGCACCATTGAACAGTTCTTGTATTTGGATTGCAGCCCTGACATCATGCAGGCACATTGAAACATTTTTTGCAAATTTCTAAAATTAAAAAAAAAGACATCAGTACTAGCAAACAACATCCAAAGAATTCAAAATTCAGAATTTCAAAAAAACCCTACAAAAAACAAACAAACAAAAGCACTGGCAATGATAAATTACCAAAAATGTTATTAACTTGAAAGGTGAACAATGAATATTATACCTCAAATACCTGAAAACACCTTTTAAAACTGCAAAACTGTCATATTCTGATTACCATGTGACAGCTAACTCCAGCATACAACTAACAAATTGCAAAGAAACCTAGCATCAAAGGAAATATGTCTGCTGCATATTACTGTCAGTACAAACTGACTTGATTGTAGTTCTCAAAAATGGTCTTCCTTTCTTATCACCTGAAAAGAGTCACTTTTGTGAGTAGTTGAGTAGTTGAGAAGTAACACTTAAAGTGTATAAATATTACAAAAGTCCTATGGATTAAATCACATTCACTAAATACATTCCCAGACAACACTCATTCCATGCACACATACTTTTCATGCATACTTTTGCTAATTAACATTCAATTCATGTTTCTTGCACATGTTCAGAAACAAGTACTCTGATATCCAAACTTTAGGCAAATTATATCATTTCCATTAAACACAGCTACACCATATCCAGTTTACTTTAACCACTTAAATCCCAAGATCTTATTGCTAATTCTCCCTTCTAGCTGCCACATATTTCATAGTACATTACTGACAAGAATTTTGGGTTACATCAAGGCAACAACTGCTATCTGATGACTTTCAGTATGTTCATTACATGTTTGCTAGATTAATGTATGGATATCATAAGGAGAGGTTACATATTCATTTTGTCAGGGAGCAAGAGGGTAAAACAACAATCATACAATTGTACAATGCTTTTTATAGGACCCAGCAAATACCGCACTATAGCATGTATTCTGTTATGACTTGCCACCTGCAAGTCTAATTATTTTACAGAACATAAAAATTAATAAATAACATAGAAAATATATTGAAGTATTCATCTTCTTTATTTTCAAAATAAAATAAACAACTGCCAGTTTGGCTGACTGGTAAACACTTACCCTTGCAATCCAGAGCCAACAAGAGGATTTGTTTCTCACTTCTGGGCCCCATGTAAATTGCCTCGTTGTTTTTTTT